GACAATCTGCAGTACCTAAGACTTTGCTTCTGCTGGCACAGCACTTGATCAATCTAATTCTCATCAATCACTCTAACTAAAGAGCTTCCCAAAAGAGGGGGGAAAAGTGTTTGCACTCTGCAAACTTCCCAAAATGACCCGTTTTCGTGAAAAATGTTTTTTTTAAAGGCATGAATAGCCTTGGGGGGCGGGGAACTTGCAGAGTGCTCCTGGGGGGTGTGGGATCAAAAACGAGTAAAACAAGTTTTGTGAAAACGGGCCCATTTTTTTGTCAAGAAAGTTGCATGCATAGCCTTATGGAGGCTTATAGAGTGCCCCTGGGGACTGGAGGGGTGAAATGGAGCAAAAAACAGCCCGTTTCTTTGCTCATTTCTGTCCTCCCCAGCCCCCAGGAGCTCTCTGAAAGCCTCCATAAGGGTATGCATGGCCATTTTGGTGAAGGGGTGGGGCTTCAGGAGGCAAACAAATGCTGTATTCAGTGTATAAGACTCACCCAGATTTTCAGCCTCTTTTTTGAGGGAAAAAGGTGCATCTTATACTCCAAAAATACGGTACATATAACTCTGGATTTAAAATATCAGAAATATAATATGGTATTAAATATTAATCAATACCTTGAGATGCATTCAGAGCACTGTTTGTCACAAACAGTTTCAGTAGTTATACAGATAAAATGTAGAATGATACATTTTATTGAGTGATATTGAGATCAGTACTTACTTTATTGAATGATTTTGAGAGATCAGTACTGCTTATTAAAAACTATTTTCAAGTTTTCTTGAAAAAGTAGAATCCAGTGGTTGAAATGGAGTGTGGTAATATCCCATTTCTCTTCAATATTACATAGCATGGAGTAACAGCTATGTCAGAAACAACACTGATTTGATATTTAAGATGATTATGAGAAAATTCTCTAAAGGTTTGAAACAGAAGTATATTGAGTAATTGTGGTCTTATGACAAATACATAATGGCTTGTATTTCTCTCCCTGCAGTACCACTTTTAATTTAAGTTATTTTCTGTTCTGCAGTATGAATCAGAAGTTGCAGCTGGAACAAGAAAAACTGAGTTCAGACTATGAAAAATTAAAAATAGAAGACCAAGAACGGGAAAATAAGTTGGAAAAACTTATGTAAGTTAGCTGGATTCCCTTTCCTGTTATGAATGGACATTCCTAAAATAATATATGCAGGATGCCATCCTGACCAAGGTCAGAAACCTCTGGCTATCCAGATGTTATTAGAATGTAATCTCTGTCAGACTCTATTAGCATGTATAGTGCTATAATTTACAGAATTAGCATTTCTCAACATTTGCATATTATTATTTATATTTTATGAGTTGAAAATTCTCCATTCTTTTTTATGTTATCAAAAAGTCCTGTGATCATTTTTACTAGTCATCCTCCCCAAATAGGAGCCCTTGCTCGATTGTGAATCTAAAGATGGTAAAATATATTTAGATTGAAGTTTACAGCAAATACTGGGGGGAGGGCATTCTATTAGCTACAAATATATTTTACCATCTTTAGATTCACAATCAAGCAAGGGCTCCTTCATAGAGGTTTAATTTCTCATCCTAGAGACTCAACTCTAGAACAGAAAAGAATTAACAGACCTATAAGACCATGGTTTTGATTATACCCTATCCCACCCCATTCCAATTTTAATAATTGCAAGGACGGGAGTGCTGTTAAAACATCTGGTCTTAATTGAGTGGCCCAATGTAAGTGTAAATAGTAAATGCATATCCACTTAACAGTCATTCCAAAGATGACACTACAACTGGATAGCCACAATTTATTTAAAATTAAGATTTTAAACTGCCTAAAAGAAAATCATCAGGTCTTAAGCCAATATGGTGAAGAGAGAATTTTATACTTTCTTCTAAAAATATGGGTACATTGTCAGGATTTTATTAGTACCCTGGTGTCAAAGTTCAATAGAGCAGGATTTTAACTATCCTCACCAACATACAGATTTACGATTTTGGAGATTCGAATTAAACTCAGAACTCTGTTGCTCTTGTTAATGCAGATAGTCCTCAATTTACAACCATTCATGTAGTAACAGTTCAAAGTTAAAATGGCAGTGAGAAAAGTGACTTATGACTTTCACACTTACGACCATTGCAGCATCCCCTTGGTCACGTGATCTCAAAATTCAGGGGCTTGGCAACTGGCATGTATTTATAACGGTTGCATTGTCCTGGGATCATATAATCATCATTTGTACCCTTCCCAGTCAGCTTCTAACAAGCAAAGTCAGTGGGGGAAGCCAGATTTGCAACAACTGCAGGATTCACTTAATTGCAGCGATTTCCTTAAAAACTGTGGTAAAAAGTGTCATAAAATGGGGTGCAACTCACTTTAGAACCATCGTGCTTAGCAATGGAAATTTCAAGCTTAATTGTCTTCTTTTTCTTTCCATTTTCCCAACATTATGCAGGTCTGCTTAGGTCTGCATAATGTGTCCAAAATATGATGCTGTGAGGATGGTTATTTGTGCCTCACATGAATTATGACTCGTTTGTTCATTTTCTTGGTATC